GCCATCTGGCTGAGAAGCAAAAAAGCCCACATGGAAGAAGCACACCAGCCTGTGTGGTCATGAGGTGTTGATGGGATCAGCTGTCAGGCATCAAAGACCCAGAACAAAAAAATCATATCCGTATGAATGAGGGGAAGTGTGGAGTGGGGACCCAAAGCCCATCTGTAGACAACTGAACATCCCCTACGGAAGGGTCTTGGGAAGGAGATGAGCCAGTCAGGGTGCAGTGTAGCAACAAAGAAACAGAACGTTTCTCTAGTTCTTTAATGCTTCCTCCCCCCACTAGCATGATCCCAATTCTACCTTACAAATCTGGCTAGACCAGAGCATGTACACTGGTACAGATCAGAGCTGGAAACACAGGGAATCCAGGACAGATAAACCCCTCAGGATCGATAATGAGAGTGGTGATATCAGGAGGGGAAGGGGAAGGTGGGGATAAGGGTGAAGAAAGGAGGAACCGCTCACAATGATCTACATCTAACCCCCTCCCAGTGGGAGGTACAACAGAAAAGTGGGTGAACGGAGACATCCGTCAGGGTAAGACAGGGCACCCACGCACGCTGTGCCAGGTCCCATGGTCATCCTTTGGAGTGGGTCAGCCCCCAGAGGGCACGCTCCACCCACCCTGCAGTTTGGGACGTGGTCACGGGGAGCCCTGGCCACCCTGACCGGTTCCCTGCTATCCACTCCTGGTTAGCTGGGGCCCAGTCCTCGCCTCCACGGGCCCAGTATTGTTGCACAAGTTGGGGAAGGGCGGGGACAGGATCCGATTTCTGCCGCGCAAAAGAAAAGCCAAACATGGGCAGAAAGTCCACCAAACTGCCCCTGAGAGAGCGAGCCCTTCCTGCCACCCCCTCAGCCTCCTGCCACACCAGGTGCCAACTCCGGTGGCCGACCCCACCACTGCTGCCCACCCAGCCATTTCCAGTCCAGTGGCCAGCCCTCTTTGATCCTCCACTGAGTGCAGCCATCCACCTCAACCCGCTGGACAATTCCTGGGGTCCGAGAGACCCAGCCTCCCCCGACTGTGCACCCTGACGGGCACTGACTTCCCAACAGCCCACATTTCTTTACCTGCCCTTTAGCTCCTGGGACCCCTCACCTGGAGCAGCAGTATCACCGATAACCGACCCCTGCCCCCAATGCAGAGAAATCCCAGGCCATGGTTGAATTAGCTGGGATGACCCTCACTAGCTTCTCATCACCTTTTTTAATACAGAACCAAGAAGGCCTATCGCCCCAGAGGCTTAGAAGTACCTACAAACACTTGGCCCCCCAGGGACCCCTTGATCCCACACAGTGGGCAGCTCAATTGTCCCCGGATGTCTGGCCAAAGTGGGACTTCTGTCCTCTGGAGGGGCGGGTCGCCCCGACCCAGTCTGGGGCGGCCCGTTTACAGGGGCTCCATCTTGCAGGGCGGAAGCCCACAGATAGGTCAAAGCCAGCACGGGACGCCAGAAGTCCAGAGAACGCCCTGGAGATGACTGTGGGCGGCCCTGGGAGGTGTATCACATCTACGCCCCAGTGGACCCAGAGGAATCCCCCCCCCCTCGCTCAACTCCCTAACTCTGAGTGCGTGGTCCAGCTGGCCCCCCAACGTCAGGAGCAAGGTCCAGTGCCTGGAAGGCTTGGGTGGCATGGGCATCACCCAGTTAGTAGAAGTGGCCCGTAAGGTGCCCAACAACTGAGACGAGGAGGCCCAAATACCTCCGGCTCTAGAGCCAGACGGGATGGATGCATCCCTCCCCAAAGCCGTCCTGCGGCAGCCGGGCCGGGGAGTGTCTCTGTCTGAATGGGGCCAGCCCTGCGAGGACCACCACAGAGTAGTCGCTCCCTGGACACCACGTTTCACACAGAAGGCAAAGCCTCTGTATGCTCCCTGGGGATGGGGTGGGGGGTGGTGGGGGGTGGCAGGCAGCACCCCTTTCAAGTGGACGCAGGCTCAAGATCAAGCCTTCAGTGACGTAAAACGGGCTCGGTCTGCCGGACACTCACTGACATGCCCAGAGCTGACGGGGTACCGTTACCTGCTGGTAAGGGTCCCCACTTTCTGCAGATGGTAAAGGCAGACCCACCTGCACAGAGAAGGCCTGAGAGGTGACCCAATATCTCCTCCACAAAATCATCCCCCGGTACGGAATGTCCCGGACTATGGGAAGTGGCAATGGACACATTGTAACACAGGTGGCCCAACAACTACCACTCTCTTGGGGAGAAAGTGGAACTTAACCCGTGGCCTACCACCCTCAGAGCTCAGGGAGGGCAGAGAGCATGGAGCCAACCCTGAAGGCCACAGTGGGAAAGTTTTGCCAGGAAACTGGACACCAATGGCCCAAGGCCCTGCCTTTGCCCTGCTCTTGGCTTAGTGCACCCCGGGCCCAGCAGATTCTCTCTGTTTAAAATAATGTTTGGGAGACCCATCCAGAGTAAGGCAATTCAGGGGTGACCCCAGTGCCCTGGGGTTGCAGGGCCTGAAGGGTTCCAAGCCGTGGAAGCTGCCCTCAGAAACACCCCACACCCTGCTAGGTGGGTGTCAGGGCCCCTTGGGAAGCCCAGGCCACCCTTTTCAGTCCGCTGACCCGGAGTGGATGAAAAGCCGGAAACAGGAACCCGTAACGCCAGCATGCATTGGGCCCCACACGGTAATGTTGGTAACCCCAACTGTTGTCAAAGTTACAGGAAACACCCTGTGGATCCATCACGTCCAAGCCAGAACCTCATTCCCCAGCTACCCCCATGGGGACTGCCAGCCGGCCGGACTCATTGGAGCCCAAACTGACCCTGAGCTGAGCTACCTGCTGGGAAAGGCTACCACCCTGCCCTGGTCACAGAACCAGAGGCTGCCTAAGTTTCTGCACGCCCGAGGCTCTGCTCTGCAGAG